GAGCGGTTGTGTCCAAGGGACTTGCGTTTAGGCGTTTCCTGGCCTCTGAGAAAGGCCTCCAGGATGCGGGTTCTGGCCCAACTTGTTTTTTTTTTCTGGAATTAAGAACCCAGCGAGCTGTTATCGCTGTCGGTGCGATTTACCTGATTTCGGACCTGGGTGTCTGTGGGGAAAATATCGAACGTCTTCGGTCCGTCTCGGGGTTCTTGGGTACGCTATCTCCCCCTTGGTGTTTGATGGGCGACTTTAATATTCCTGCCCAAGATCTTGATCTCAATGGATTCCTCAACTTGCTCGAGGTAGGGTTTGTATTCCGTCTGATGTTGAAGTTACTTGTGCACAGGGCAGGGGGTCTATGATTGACTACGTGGTTGCCTCTGGTGATTTGGCGTCTCTGTTGGATGTGAAATCTTTTGACCCCAGCCCCTTTGAGACCGACTGCTGTCTGTCTGTTACTTTGAAGCATGGGGCTCTGGAACAAGAAATGTGGCAGAGATGCCGTCCACATCAATTTCCTGTTTGTCCTGGACCTGGCCTTCCTTGGGAAGTCATTCTGGAGCGTGTTGCTGATCCTGGTCCCCCTCGGATCCCTGGTTTTATTGATGGTGCTTTGATCGCACATGTGGTCGACCACCTCTCCACGAGTATTTCTTCTGCGTGTATGCTCTGGTATCGTGCTACTGAGAGCCTCTATGCTTCCCGTGCCTGTGCTGTGCTTGATGATTTACCTGACACACATAGAGGCGACTTCCCTGCGTTTCGGAAGAATAATATCAGGAGACGTGGCCCTATTGGACAAAGCTTTCGATCTCCTGGATTGGCTTTCTGGACTCATCTGTCTCAGAAGTTGTGGGAATACCGCCTCTATACCGCTCGCAAGTTTAAGTGCGTGGTCACTGCCTTAGTTAGCGTCCTCCGAGGCTTAGTTGATCAGATTTCTGCAGTTTTGCTGGCCGACGACGTTCGAGGCATCGACTGGTCGCAGGCTCAGCTTAGTTGCCCGCCTACCCAGATTGGCGCGACGGACGATATATCGGCCGCTGTCTCGGCTTCTCTAGCGTCCGCCTGGCGTGAAGCTAAGGCCACCTCGAGAGCCAACATGAAGAATTGGCTCCTTCACGCTCTGCCACGTGGCGCTAAGAGAGTCCACGATTGGTTGAAATATGATCTTGGGGAGCCCCCAGAGGTGCTCGTGACCCCTACCCATGTTCGTCAGCTCCCTGCTGATTTGCTCCAGTACCGCGAACAATACTGGCGTGGAGTTTGGACCGTTGACCCTGGGGCCCGAAAAAATCTCTCTTGCGTGCTGGACTCCCTTAGGCCCCATGCCCTGGAGGCTGTTCAATTGCTTGACCCTCTGGAGGTCAGCAACGTTCAACGTGCTTCCCGCTGCTTCTCTGCTACTGCCGCTGTCGGCGTTGACCACTGGCACCCGCGGTCGGTTTTGGACATGCCCAGGGGCGCTGTCATGGGGTTCACTTCTCTCCTCAATCAGTGCGAGCTCGGCCTCATGTGACCTGCCCAGGCGCTGTTGAGTTTAATCGCGTTGCTCCCCAAAAGTGTTGAATGTGATCGGCCTATTTGAAAATGCCATACCTTATATACGATTTACTGCAAAGCTCGTAATCATCATTTGGACGACTGGACCGCCGAAAGGTCAAATGTTTGGGACACGGCGATGAACAGTTCCAGTGCCCTGCAGGCGGCCCTGTTGCGTGAAGTCGACCACGAGGTCGCTCGGTTTCAAGGCCTGTGTTCTGTGGGGGCCCATTGGGACTTGAAAAGGTTGTTTGACTCGATTGATCCTCATCGCCTGGTCGGATTCGCCATGAATATGGAGTACCCTGTCCACCTTTTGTACATAGGTATCCTCGTCCACGCTGCTCCTAGGCCGTTGGAGGTCGGCGGCTTTGTGTCCGACATCATTGCGCCAGAATGCAGCATTTTGGCAGGCTGTATGCAGTCTATGGGTTGGGTCAAGACTTACCTTTATGAGTTGCTGGACACTATGCACGTGCATTTCCGTCCTGTGGCGGTTAAGGGGTATGTGGATGATTCGGCCCAATCTCAGCAAGGATCCCCGAGGATATATTGCAGCACCTGGTCCCCGCTGATATGTCTCTTGCCCATGAATTACTACAACTGAACTGTACTATTTCTGATAAATTTACCTTGGTCTGTAGTCATCTTGAACTTGGAAAGGAATTGCAATTACGTTTTCACTCTACTGGTTTGCCCATCAAGCTCGCTGAAGCTGCCCGCGACTTGGGGGTCATGACTACGGCAGGTAAGAGGCGTTTTACTGCCAACCTTCGGCTTCGACGTGCACAGGCCTCCAAGAAGGCCAGGAAAGTCTCGTTTTTGTCTCGGCTGGTTGGGTCCGCCCGTAAGTTGTATAAGCCAAGTGTCCTGGCTGTGGGGTCCTGGGGCCACCAGGTCCTGGGTCTGTCTCCTGCTCAAATTCGTTCTTTTCGTGCACAAGCGGCGACTTGCTCAGGCCGCTAGGTCCCTGGTGCCTGCACTACTACTGTCTTGGCTCTTGTGAGCTCTGCCAAGGATGACCCCCAATTTAGGCTCCGCTATGAGCAGTTGATTGCTTTCGCCGACGTCGGGGACGATTTGAATCACCAGATGCGTAAGCAAGTGGCTCAGACATGGGCTACCATCGTCCAGGCCTTCGGACGTGCCAAGCATCGCTGGCAACGAGTTCGGGGGCCTATTGCAGCTACAGTGGCAGTCCTGATGGATCTCAGGATTGCCCCGATCAGCCCTGTTTTCTGGCGCCTGGAAGATGGCACTGAGCTGAGGATTACCGACAGTCAGTTTCCTCATGCTCTGTGGCAGGCGCTTCTGCGAGTTTGTGGCCAGATGTTCTGGTCCGCTGCTTCTGCCCATTACCTTGGATCAGGTTTGGAAGGAGGAGTTGATTTTACTGTGGTTCAAAGATTTTTCAGGAGGCTTGAAAAAGATAACTCTCATGAAGCTGCGGGCATGCTTCGGAATGCTTTAACGGGTGGCTTTTGGACCGAGGATCGCATTGCCCAGTCGGGCTATGACTCATACACCAGAGGCATTTGCCCTAGGTGTGGTGTTGCGGCCGAAACTGCGGCCCATCGTTTTTGGGGCTGCCCTCGCAATGCCGATTTGCTGGACAGCTCTATTGACAAAACTAGCCACCTTGTGTCCGGAGCTCTCTCCCAACATGACAGGTGTGCCTTTTGGTTACGTGGTTCACCCCCCCTTGTTGATTCCGTTGGCCACCTCCCCCCTCCCCGAACCCTGTCGTGGTCCTGGGGCCGCCTCTTGAATGGGGCTAAAGTGCACGGAGGTGTTTGGGGAATCGACGGTGCTGGGGGAAAGCACTATAAAGATGGGCGCCTGCGGAGGTGTGGCTGGGCTGTCGTCCATTTAGGTGCCCATGGACTTTTTGATGGAGTGGCCCGCGGTACCTTGCAAACTAAGGCGCAGAACGCTCGCCGAGCTGAACTGTTCGCCTTGATTGAGCTTGCAAAAGGTTCTACTGGTGCGATTCGTGTGTATTGCGATAACCTGTCTGTCGTCAAAGGCTCCCGCAAGACCCTCAAGGCCAAGAGGAAATCAGCTTCTCTCGATTTGTGGGCCCAATACCATGACGTGATGAAGGCCCGAGGCGGAACGATTGACGTTCGATGGACGAAAGGACACCCCACCCAGGCCCAATGTCAGGACATGGTTTTAACAGATATAGAAGTTTATTTAAACATGTCTGCTGATTTTTTCGCTGGACAAGCCGCTGACGCAGGTGAGATCCCCGAGGAACTTGTGAGGAGGACCCTTCACGCTGATGATATTGCTAGCCTTGTCCTCTGTCGCCTGTTGTCTGTGCAGCGTGAATGCCTGTTTTTGTCCCAGCGTGAACATCCTGAAAGGGCCTCCCGAGAACGTTCCAGGAAGATCCCTGCGTTGCAAGAGCGGCGTAATAGATTGAGCGCTCAGGGTCACTATGTGCTTGTCCGTCCCTCTATCCTTAAGTGCTCTCTCTGTCATCGCTCTTTCCAACGGGTAGGCCAGCTGTCCGAATTCTGGCCTAATCCGTGCAAGCCTCGTGCTGTGGTCCAGCAACGAGTTCAACGTCTCCTTCCTCGATCCCCTTCCCCTCGAGGCGCTGCGTCCGCAGGCGCCCCAGCCCGTGTGCCTGATGATCTAGGCCCACCGACGGGAGAGGGTGGGGGCGGGGAATCTGCTCTTGATCATCCCTGTGCTGAATTCGTCCACCCCTCCCACCACCTTGCTTGTTTTCGAGGTGTGCTGTATTGTGAAGTTTGTGGGAGGCATTGTGTCGAAGTCCCTCGGGACCTGAAGAATAGTTGTGAACCTCCCACGAAAGCTGGGAAGGAAGTTTTGTCTCGTCTGAAGCGTGGCCTCCCACCTAAATCCGGTGGCAAATTTCCTGAGGTCTAATTGTGTGCGAAACGTGCCCTTGCCCCGCAGCAGGTACACACGCCAGGAGATAGAATATAATAGAACTCCACCTCCTCCTCCTCCGCCTCCTCCTCCACCGCCGCGTCCCGAGGAGCGCGGCGCCGATGCCAGCGCTGTGCGCGGGGTGGCCGCCCCTGCGGTCTTCCGCGCGGCGCCGCGCGGCTCTCCGGGCGGAGCGTGTGCAGGAGCGGGGATGCCCCTGGTCACACTCCGACCCCACGAGAGGCCAGAACGACCGCTCGTTCGGTTGTCTGCCAGCCGCCCTCCGCACACCTCCGCACCGGGAGCAGTGCCTGCGTAGTGCTGCCGCGGAGCGCTTGGCAGGCCCGAGCGGCGGCATGGAGAAAGCCTGGCGTCTGGGGCCACTTTCTTGTCGTCCGTGCCCTGCGCCCCCCGGCGCCCAGAGAGAAGTGCAGCAGCACAGGTGTGGATCGATCGCGGCTCGCGGAGGAACAGGCAGAGCTTGGCCTGTTCTGCTCAAGTCCCCTCCCCCACGACGGCGCGGGGCTAGCCTGATTTTCCCGCGGTTAACTCACCTAGGGCTCCCAACTTCGCGCTTCGCGCTGCGCGAAGCGCGAAGCGCGAATAACTTCGCGCTCTCGCGCCGCCCCCCCAAAGGGAGAATAGGAGGACGAGGAGGAGGGGGAGAAGGAACGAGGACCGCGAAGCGCGAATAACTTCGCGCCCTCGAGGGAGCCCTTGTAGCCTGATTTTCCCGCGGTTAACTCACGGAGCGCGCCGCCAAGGAAGTGTGAGACCGGAGGGAGAAGCAGAGGGGCAGAGGAAGCGGGCGCTGTGCGCGGGATGAGAGCGTCGGATACAAAAGAGGCGACGACTCGCTGCGCCTTGCAGTCCTCGAGCGAGGAAGGCGGAGTTGAGCTTCCAGGCCAGAGAGAGGTTGCCACTTGGTCACCTTGAAAAAGATATTGAACTAGCTTGCTGGAAGCACGCTGTGAATCATAGCAGCTTGACCTTCGACGATGGTCACAACGAGATGACCTGCAAAGTGGCACACGGCGGACCACCGCCAGCAGCTACGAAAGACGGATAGTTGAGTGAGGTCATGGATACTGGCGTCCTCATGAGCGCTTGCGGGGTGCACCGGCCAAGCTGGGGCCTATGGAGATGCTCATGCCCGTCGAGATGGCGTCGAACGGGCGGTCGACACTGGTAGGACCACTGCCCGCTGGGATCGCCACTGCGCGAGACGGAGCTGTCCGGGGCCGACGCCGGCCCAGAGGCGCCGCCCCGATTGCCCGGCGCGGGCTGGGACCCGCCGCTGTTGCTGTGACCGACCGTGCGAGCCCAGGAGGGGGCCACGGTGGCTGGCTGCTGTGACTGGAGACCCTTGGCGTGGGCGGCGGGCGCGGCCAGCGGTTGCAGCTGGCGACCGCGGCCGTGATCAGCGGCTGCGGCCTCTGGCTGCCCTGATGAACGAAGGGAACCAGCCAGCCCTTCCGCCAATGCGAGGCCCTGGCCCTGGCCGCAGTGGCCGGCTGCAGCGGCCAGCACGCCGGCACGCCAGTCGTCCGCCTCAGCGGGGGGTTCCTCCTCGGCGCTGCGGGCGTGCGGAGCATGCTGCGGCCTGACGTATCTGTGGGCCGCCTCAGCGCCCACGATGGACGTCGAGCGCGTCTCGTCATGTGCGGGCACGTTCAGCTGCAGCAGCTGGTCGAAGCCGGTCAGGCCCAGGTCGTGCAGCGGCCTGACGGTCAGGCCCAGGCGGTGCAGCGGCCGGACGAAGGGCAGCACTTCAGGATCCCGCACGTGGCGCGAGTGCCCTCGGTGCCACATGACGACGTTGTTCGCCAGCCCTTGCGTCGCGGCGGGTGAAAACCTCAGCGTACCCCAGGCTTCCTTCCGCCCTGTGAGCATCGTCGCGATGAACCTCTGGGCGACCTCTCGGCTGAAAAGGTTGATAAACGCATACCCTTTGCTCTGGTGCGTCCTCAGACAGCGAGGCAGGTACAGGTAGTCGTAGGCCTCGCCAAATCCCATCTCGCTGATGAAGTGCCTCAAGCCCAGCATGGTGAGATCCAACGGCAGACCACGGATGGCAAGAGTGAATTCCGTGCTGCTGGACATGCTGCTGGCCCAGTCCCTGATGCGCTGCGTCCTGCTGGCCAAGCTCACGGCCATTGGAACGAGCTGGACCACCGCCTCTGTCGCTGTGGGGCGGCGAGAGCGAAGACAGCTTGAGCCAAAATGGCTACGGACCTCCTGGGCGCCTTCTTGGGCCTCTCTTGGGCGCCTCGGAAATATGTTGGGTCGTCTTATGTGCCTGTTGGGCCGCCTTGGCGGGCTCTTCGGCGCCCGTGGGGCTCTCGCGGGCCGGAAGAGAGCCACTTCGGAAGCGAGGAAAGGGCTGGCACCCCCTATGGAGGGCTCAAAGCTTGCCGTCGCTCGGACGTCCATGTCCCGTGCATTCGTCGGCTTCGTGCGTGTTCTTGGTTGGTCGATGGGCCAGGATGCTCCTCCAGGGTCCTCGCCGAGGAAAAAATGCACACGCCCGAGCGATGCTGGGCCTATAGAGGGCTCAGAGGCCAGGTTCGGGTGCCAAGAGACCCCCCAGAGGCACCCAAGATGCTCCAAGAGGCCTCGGCGAGAATGCCACAAACGGCCTCGGCGAGGAAGCCCAAATCTCTGGTCTTACTGGGGCTTGGGCCCCATTGTCTGGCCTCATGGGGGACGACGCCAAGGAAGACTCCCCTCTTGTCTGCTCGATCTCCCTGCTTGCTCGATCTCCTGGTTTGATCGATCTCCTTGTTTGATCGATCTCATTGTTTGGTCGAACAACTACTCCCCTCTTGTTTGGTCGATCTCCTTGTTTGCTCGATCTCCGTGTTTGCTCGATCTCCTTGTCTGCTCGATCTCCTTGTTTGATCGATCTCCTTGTCTGCTCGATCTCCTTGTTTGCTCGATCTCCTTGTTTCATCGATCTCCTTGTTTGCTCGATCTCCTTGTTTGCTCGATCTCCTTGTTTGGTCGATCTCCTTGTTTGATCGATCTCATTGTTTGGTCGAACAAATACTGCCCTCTTGCTTGGTCGATCTCCTTCGAGACCCTCCGGGGGCCTCTCCACGAGGCGCCCTCCGCGCGCGCTCCCACTCTCCGAGGGCCCTCCTCCTCCTCCTCCTCCTCCTCCTCCTCCTCCTCCTCCTCCTCCTCCCTCCTCCCTCCTCCTCCCTCCTCCCTCCCCTCCTCCTCCACTCCCTCCTCCCTCCTCCCTCCTCCCTCCTCCCTCCTCCCTCCTCTCGGATCATGACGTTAGCCCGAAGGCGCTGCGGAAGCACGGAGGAGCAGCCCTTCCCGGAGCACGGGGGGGCTCAGGGAGGGCGACGAAGAGGACGAGGGGGGCGGTCTGGAGGTCGACAAAGGGGAGGAGAGTCCAGGAGCGTGACGGCGGCGGAGACGAGGGCAGAACGGGAAGGAGGGGCAGGAGCAGAAGGAGAAGTGGAGCCTTTGAAGACGAACAGCACACAGCGGAGGGACATCTGCGCCCCTCGCCCACGTGTGCTCCTCCTGGTGGCCTTCTCCACATCCTGCCACCGAGCCTGGGTTGTTGACGTGAGACTTCGTGAATTAGAGCGTGAATTACCTCCCCCGCTCTCGCTTCCAGGCAAAACCAAGCCATACCACGCGCCTCCTCGTCAAGCGGCCTGACCAGTACAGGCCGCAATTTGGCATCGTTTGGTATCTCTTGGAAGCGAGGGTGGTCAAAAGCGAGGTAGGTTTGTTTTCCCCCGAGTGAATGCCTGTTCGCGTCCCTAGGGAAACCTCTGGCCAGCCCTTTGGAAACAATGAAGAAGCATCATGGGGCGCTTTTCGGGGCCCCTTCGGTCGGGCGTTGGCAGAACAAGGTTTAGTGGGACCTGGTTTAGTGATGTGTACTGGGGGACGCCCCCCCCGCTCGTTCCACTAACCGGAACTGCCGTCACCCGAGTCAACACCAGCTACGGCAGACCTGGTTTAGTGACTCTGGCCAATTTGGGGGCTCCGGGGCCCTACCACTGACCGAATCTCCTTACCTGGGGTCCTGGCCATCACCGATTCGGGGCCTCTTGTGGCCCTCTTTGCCCTCTCGGGGGGGGGGGGTCTTTGAGGGCCTGCCGGCGATGCTCGGAGTCTTCTTCGGGCCGATGCCTTGAGATATGGCCTCGCAGTCCCCCCCCCACGAGCCATTCTTGGGGCCTTTTTCGGCCGTCCTTTTGGGCCGCCTTGGGGCCCTCTTGGGCCGTCATGGGGCCCTCTGGGGGACCTTTCCGGCCGTTGGGGGGCTCTCCCAGGGGCCTCTGGGCCCGTCCTGGACGCTGCACATCTGAGCACCACGACTGCGATAGAAGTGTGCGCTTGCCCACAGGAGCGGGGCGATGTTGCCTTTTTCGGGCCCTCCTGGTAGCGATCTCGGGGCATCCTGGAGGCCTGCCGGCGGTCGCCGGGGGCCTCTCGGGGCGGAGGCCTCGAGGTGCGGGTTCGCACTCCCCCCGCGGGGCCCCTGTTGTGAGGGGCAACGCTGTAGGGGGGGACTGGCACAGGGGGGTACGCCAGATTTCGTAATAATAAAAGGGAGGGGGTCTGGACCCTCCAAGGCAAGCCATTTCAGACCCCCCCCCCGTGGGAGAACCCTCCAAAACATCATCCCCAGACCCCCCCAGGCCCTCCAAGATAGCCTGGAAGAGACCCCCCCGAAATGAGACCCCCCTCCCTTTATTACGAAATCTGGAGTATCCTCGCCAATCGTTGCCCCTGATGTTGGCACCCTCCTCGGCCGCCTTGGGCTGTCCCGGGTGCCTCTTGGGCCGTCTTCTCTCCCCCCCACACGGCGCAGGTGTCCCTGCTGGACGCGGGAAGACCAAACCATCGTTCCTGTACGCTGTGCACAGCTGGCCCCCATGATCTCCTGCCACTGCTATAGCGAACAGGAACGAAAGTCAGGCATGCCATCGACATCGCCATCGCTGAAGTGTACACCAGGATGGCGGGCAAGCCCATCGCTCGCTATCGAAAATGTGCTGCGTGATAGTATCATGCGAGCACCCTCCAAAGACATGTGCCTCAAACGCCCCTGCTGGCGGGAACGCTGCTTGTGAAGCCCCGCCGCTATTAGCTCCTCAAACGACGCACGCGATTCACATCATCTGGTGTCACTACTGTGATGCCATCGTAAACCAAGTCCTTCTTCAAAATCCCACCAGCCCTCTGGGCGTCGGTGGTTTAGAGCGTTTCCTCTTCCACCCCTCCTTCTTCCCCTTCGGGGAGGGGTTTACCCCTCCCCCTACCCCCTCCCCACTGACCTGGACAGGGGGTTCCGCGGCGCGTTGGAGCGCCCAAGATCGACCCCTGGGAGGGCTAAAATTCGACACCCCTCACGAGGATCGTGGCTCCTGAGGGGGGGACTGTAATTAGGGAACCCCCCTTCGTTGATCGATCTCCTCCAAGATGGCTCCGAGGCCCCCCAAGAGGCCCCCAGGAGGCCCCCAAGAGACCCCCAAGAGGCCCCAAGAGACCCCCCAGAGGCACCCAAGAAGCGCCCAGGAGGCCCCAAGAAGCGCCCAGGAGGCCCCCAAGATGGCCCCAAGATGGCCCCAAGAGGCCCAAGAGGCCCCCAGGAGGCCCCAAAGAGGATCCCGAACGGCCCACAGAGGCCCCCCCGAGGCTGCACCCAAGACGCCGAAAAGCCCCTCAGGACGACCCTCTACTCGCCTGGGCGTCGTTTCTGGACGGGCTGGTGGGGATACGCGAAGCGTCTAGAATTGACCTGGACCTAGAAGCGCACTGCCGAGGGGGCTGCAAATGTCTCTCCATTTGGACTGATAGGCGATGGGGGCCTACTGGGACGCCTCCCGGGAGCCTTTTGGAAGCATTGTGGGAGTCTCTAGGACCTATGCGGGCCTTTCTTGGGAATCCTTTGGGGTCTCTTTTGGCCCGTCTGGGGGCCCATTTCGGCCGTCCTGGGTCCCTCTTTCTCGTCATGAGGAAGTGAGGCCGTCTTCGAACCCTCTTAGGGCCCTCTCCGACCATGCAGGGATCCTCCGGGGATCCTCCGGGGATCCTCCGGTGGCTCCCTCGGCCCCGTGGGGACTCTCTTTTTGTTCCGCCTGCGTCTGGGGCAGACGGGGCACCCTGGCGCAGAGTGAGAGATGTCATCGGGTCCCTCCTCCTGCCGGCTATCCAGGGCCCAGAGGAGTCTAGTCCGCACGCGCCTGTGCGCACAGCGCGGCTGAAAACGGCGAGCACCTGTCGCAGATGCCTTTGCCTGAAGTGGGCGCGCCACCCTCCCTCCTCCTCCTCCTCCTCCTCCTCCTCCTCCTCCTCCTCCTCCTCCTCTCCTCCTCCTCCTCCCTCCCTCCTCCCTCCTCCTCCTCCTCCTCCTCCTCCTCCTCCTCCTCCTCCTCCTCCTCCTCCCCTCCCCCTCCTCCCTCCTCCTCCTCCTCCTCCTCCTCCTCCTCCTCTCCTCCTCCTCCTCCGATTCGAACGTGCTTGTTGGCCACTACCAGATTGCCCTGTACACGTGGCCCAAAAATCAACCTCAGTCGACTAGAGGCCTCCCAGACGGGGTCGGGGTAGATGGGGTCGGAGGATCGCGCCGCATCGCCGATACATCGCCGATGCATCGACGATACATCGGCGATGCATCGGCGATGCACTGGCGATGCATCGTCGACGCCGACGATGCATGGGCGACGTCGACGTGGAGCAGATCGGGCTCCACATCGAGCCGCATCGGCGATGCATCGGCGATGCGCCGCGATCCTCCGACCCCATCTGCCCCGACCCCATCCAGGCTGGGTAGTCGAAGCCAATCTGGCGCTAACCTGGCAGGCCCAATCTGGCAAACGGGGGCAATCTGACGAGGGAGCCAACGCGAATCCAGTCTGGCGAGTAACCCCGATTCTCCAGTTTGGCCAGGCCAGATTGGCCCTCGGGGCCCAATCCAATCTGACAGTCTGGCCTTCGACGACCCAGCCAGGAGGCCTAGATCGACTGACCTCCGACCGGCGTCGGCGAGGAAGAGCTGACCCCGGCGAAGGGGCCGAGGCGGCAGCTCGCTCCGCCCAGCACCGAGGGCTCGCTCCACGCGTGCGGCCCGCCGCGGCGCGGCCCGCGGCGCGAACCCCGCGGCGCGCGGCGCCTCCCGCAGGCTGCTCGGCGGCTGAGTCGGTGCTCGTGGTAGCTGACAGCCCCCCTTTGGGGACCCTCGTGGCCCGTCTCGGATCTCTCTCTTGTGCTGCTCGAGGCTCTCTTCGGGCCGTCTTGGGGCCCTCTTGGGGACCTCTTGGGCCGCCCGGGGCCGACTCGGGGAGCCTCCGGGGCCGTCCTGGCCGCTGTGAGGGGCAGACACAAACGCTGATCCTGGAAATCTGCGTCTCTTGGGCCAGCTTTGAGAGCCTCTTGGGTCAGCTTGGGGGCCTCTTGGGGGGGTCTGGGGCCTCTTCTGGGCCCTCTTGGAGCCCTCAAGGCCCCCCGGGCCGCCAGGCAAACCAAGGGTAGTGGTTCCGGGCCCTCCCCCGTCCTACTCCGATATGTGTATATATACACACACAAACATGTACACACATACATATATACACATACACGCACATACATATGCTTATATAGAGCTGTGCATCCATACACCTAGACGTCTATAGTTACAGGGGGGATAGAAATACTACAGATGTGAAATGACACGTGCTTTGAAATACACGATTTCTGTAGCCTTCTGGTTCGCCGCACCGCTGGATCCGCGTCGGAACTTTGGCCAAAACGCCGTCCGGAAGAGATCCAGGGGCAAAATCAATCAACATCGAACCGGAAAATAGGATCGAATCGGAGCGTGAGTTGGAGCAGGCCAAATCGGCACGGAGTCGAGATCGAATTGGATCGGCTGGTACAAGATGGCACGCTCATGCGAACATCGGGCTGCATCTGACCGTCGACATATCGGAATCGAATCGGGTCTGGCCGGCAGAAGTCGCCATCGAGTCAAATCGATCGTGTCGAACAAAAACTGGGTTTACGAGGACCGAACATCGGGAAAGATGATTTCGGAAAAGCCTCTGGAGGCGTTCAAAAAACTGCCAAGATACAAATCGAAAGCGCATGCACCAACAAAGGCCGCGCTACGAAAAAAACAACGTTTAGAAGGCACCGATTCGAACTCTTCGCAATCCACAGACAGAACAAACATGCACGAATAATTGCATGCGCGTAACTTCATGCAACGGAGATCCGAAGCGCGCCGTCAACTTCATGCCATTCTGTAGAGAACCCTGTCCCATGCTTCCCTTCCACCTCCGCCATCACGCTTTTACCCGAGTTGAGCCTCTGTGTGCACCGATCCTTTGGAGCCCCAAATCATTGTCAAATTATCTTTGGTTGCCATGCGAGCTCTGCCGCTGCCACGGACCAGCAGGGAATATCCACGGGCCGTTACATGTATCAGAAGCCATATCTTCCCCCAACGAGGGCCACCCGAAAACGCTGACGAACAAGGAGGGATGTGTTTCACGTAATCCGTGCACCATTGAACTGGTGCACAGAATTTCAAGCACTTTTAGCGGATGCGGCCGTACAACCTCTTCTTAAGGTTCCCATCCTGTAGCGTTGGCATCCAATCGCAAGGATGGAAAAAAAGCATGTCCATGTGTTGTGACTCTATGGAGGGCGTACTAACGTATTCAAACACGATGCCCAACAGCGAATGCTTTCCCAAACCGACTCCGGTCGCTGTGGCACAAGCGACCTGCTGGCTGAAACGGACAACGTCCGCAACATCACCGACAACGAATCCTGCCAAGAAAAAGAAAGGACCAGTCCCTATGTTTTTCGTTTCTGCTTCGACCGTACGGGCATGAACTCCTATCCTGCGATTTCCCCTCCCCCGTTTGCGGCTCCCCTGCAATCCAAACGGAGGCCTTTCACCTTTCGGCCTCCGCATGAGAATCAAGCGGCTACCTCGCGACTGCGCTGCGGCTGTCATGCGGCTGCGTAGCTCGCACCAAGGACAGGTCTGGCCCCACGTGAGCCAAGCTGGGGCCTCCTCGCCACAGATCTGGCTCCACATGTCCCAAGCTGGGGCCTCCCCAACGGGGACAATGCTCGCAACGCACGCTCAGGGCTACACCTCAATGGAGTTCGGTGGCAACGCATTGGAGCCTCCCATGCCTTCTTGTCGGCTCTTGCGAATTGAAGCTGGTCGACGCTGAATCAACGCTAATCGACTGTAAATCGACGCCAAGCGACGCTAGCCAACGCTAAATCGGCGCTATCTCATCGACTCCAGACGCTAATCGACGCTAGTCGACGCTGAAAATGAAACTAAGAGGGTATACCAATCTCCCATGGTGTGCCACCGAAATGGAGAGACCTCTCGGAAATGAAGCTCAGGATTGCGCCGGACTTCACTCAAAACGATCTCATGATTTCGCTGCACTTCACTGAAGGCTATCTCCGCATGAATCGAGACCTGAGGAAGACCATGCGTGAACACTTCGGAAGCCAATGCCGCCATGGCGTGACATTCAGGTTGGTCTTCGATCTGCTTCAAGCATAGAGAAAACAGATCCCTCGTGCATCGGGGGAGACCCGCATCACGCCAAGCACAAGGGTGCCTCCTCGATACGTTCGAGTGCATTTGTTCTACCATCTGCTCCAAAGCACATCCTTTAAGCTTGGGTTGAGTGCGTTGGAAAAGTGATTTCAGAAGCCGCACAACATAGCAAGCGCATGGGTGTTCCACGAAGTAGGTGCTCGCCGCTTCGATAAAGGGTTCATGTTCGCTGCTATCGTGGATGTAATCAGCGCGCTCTGGTACAAACTCGACCTGCAATGTACGGTCTTCTAACTGAGGCACGTTGAAATGCAACACCAACGCGATCGTGATCTTTGAGACAACAACCACGTTGGGAACTTCGCGGCACAAACTCCCAAACTTGTACATGTCGTCCAACGTGATCGGATTGTCCGTACCTTCAATGTGGTAGTCAAAATCAGAATCGTCGATGAACGTATTTTTAGCGCGCGATCCATGCAACGTCAGTTGAACATGCGGTCCCCATATCTGTCTGGCACGAGGGACGACCATGCGCAGCAAATCCTGGGCTGCCGCATTTTTGAGTTGCAGCTGACGCTGTCCGATGCTTTGCGCGTAACTGGTCAATGCTTCAGCATCGTGTGCAATGCGTCTGAAATGCTTCACTAGTCCATCCCTGTCCAAACAGGGCAAAGGAGATGTCCACGCCTGTGTCAGCTGCTCTACCCCGCCAGTAACTGCTGCACGTGGCATGGTCACTCTTCTTGTAGAGCCTGCCACGGTGACACTCGGCTGCTGTGTTTCAACATCTCTCGGAGAGGACTGTGCCGAGGATTTCAAACACGGATCACTGAGTGCAAAGCTTTGTGGGTCCAGTGCGCCTTGAGCTGACCTGATGCTCGCCTTGCGCTCCAGAACTGCTGGAGTTACTGGTCGAGATCCTGTGGCCTGATTGGTTCCACCAAATCCGTTTGGAAATATTACCTGACTGT